CTGGAAAGTACTGTAAGTTACTTAGACAGTGAGTGATCTTCTCAAAACTTTGGAAGATGTTAGTCTGTTGCAGCCTTAGGATGTTGATATCCCCACTTAGCTGTTATTTTATATCATGCTCAACAAAATGGAATGTGTTTCCAACTAAATGAATTACTTAGAGGATTCATCAGTAATCTTAATCAAACATTATACACCTCATGATCAATTACCATAAACACTCATTTTACAAGTGAACGGAGATGAGGAATAACAATAAAGGTCATGGAATGAATATGTTATCACAATCAATTTTGTGCAAAGGTTAAGATGGGATTACCGGCAAGTTGTCATGACATCATAGACAAGATCTGTGAGTTCAAGAAGGGCCAATTTATGTATTGTTGGCCTACTGCTTCAAAACCAGATCATGCAAATGCAGCTGTAAAGAAGTTTTCTTAACAGACACATTTGTAGGAAAAATTATATAGGGTATAGGCTTGTCATTTTTTACAAAGAACACACTGCAACAGCTGGGCAGACACAAAACCTTGAGATGCAGCATGATATAAGATTAAAATCATTGTTAGCAGGTCATATATAATACTGGGTTCAAATTTAGTTTCACTTTTTTTACCTCTGAGGTCTCAACCAGCATGTGAAGGGGAATTATAGCCAAGACTCCTCGGCAAAGACACAGGTGTGAGAAACTGGTTATTCCTAAGAATGAAAATATAGCATTCATCAGAAAGGAAACTGTTCATTTGATACCTAAATTTGAATAAAACAAAACTTTATCCAATGTCAACTCACTGTTAATATAACATTATTTGCTAGTAAAAAACTATATTATTGATATCTCATACAAGGTTGACAAAACACTTTATACTAAGGTTTCAAAGCTAGAGAATACTTACCTGGAGAATTTTGAAAGATGGAAACAATTTTGGGATCACTCAAGGGTGAAAAAGGTAAGTGTCCACTTAGGGCATGAGAGGGGAAAATCAACTTTCCAATCTGTTTATGGGGTCAATCACACGATGAGCAAACAAATATATTAGTATCAAACAAATCAATTATTATATCTTTAAGGAATAATTAATAACAAGACATAAGATTATAATTAAAACTGATAAATAAGTATGGGATTTACTAAAAGTCCAATTTCCATGATGCTGAGTTGGAAAATGGTGGAAGCTGTGATGTTGGCTCAACATCAATAATCACTATCATCTGCCACTGTCATGCAATGTAAGACAAATAAAAGATACCTACTGTTGACACAACACTTTGAGCTGGGCACATCACTTTGATAACAGCAAGAATGGCCATTCCAGCTGTTAATTGACAGTCAAGGAAAAATAGATCTGAAATGTAAGTTAGAACACCATTTCTGACTTTACTGGTATCTTCATATCAGCCACAAAATCTTAACCTATCATATATTTGATTTAGTGAAAGGAAAGTTGAATTATCAAATACACATTGTATATAATTAATTTTATACCAACTTAATTGTGCCTTTAAGAATATTTTGAAAAATTTTACTAGTTTGTGAGAGAGGTAGGTGATCTATAAGCTTCACTTGGAACAATCATCTACCAGGCAATAAAACCCCACTACAGGTGAGAAATATGATTAAAAAAAAACTGATTTAACCAACATATCCTCCAATATGGCATTAGACTGTTGAGCAAATATCACTTAATTATCAATCAGCCCATCAGACATCACTTCACTTTTAGGTTCATACTGCAAATCAACAGCATGTTGGTGGTGCACATGTGGCAAGTTGCTGGTGTCATATACATATCAACTGACACCTTGGATAACTCACTGGCAGACACATTGGCTGGATCAGATACACTGTCATTTTCTATAAATGTGACTCCCATGGTCACACATAACTAGTTCTGACTTTTCATTTTACAACTGTTCCAGAACTAAGATAGGGGAGCTTTCATGTACATGCACCAATCTATAAATAATGCAGATCTAGTAAAAAATATGTTGTTTATAAAGAAATCCTATAAAACAAGTCATACCATCAAACAAAACACCACAAAGGTCTATCAGCATTTCTGTCATCAAATCAGTCCACAGCTTCACAGTTATTGGAGCATCTGAGTAGCTGCTACCACATAACTGGCCTGCGTCAAGACTTGCATTAAGGTCTTTATAACTATTATGACCAGCATCTTCTTTTTTAACACATGACAAGGCGAGCTGGTCAAACAAATTACATAAATTTGTCTCAGAACTGGATTTCTGAAGAAAAGAAATTATTGTCTTTATAACTGCTAAACAGTCCATCATAAGAGAGGTCTGCAAAGCCGGAGATCGCTCAGCTCTACAAAGGAGAGAGAAATGATATAAGGAATATGGTCAATTTTATTGTCAGTATAACACTTGCATGCAATACTTGATGGGGAAGATGGGGGGCTTGGAAGGGAGATTAAATACCTTAGTCTTTTTCTTCCTTTTCTTCCTTTTCCAAAGGGAGAGCAAGAAAAAAGCTTACTTTTCCCCAATGCACACCACTCAAAAGACATAAAGAAAATGACTCTGTCTTGTAAAACAACCAAAATAAACATGTGTTCTTCAGGTTGAGGTTGTAGGTAATCAAGGGAGGATAACACTGATTGAGGCAGCTGTGCCAACATTTTTCATATGACCAAACCATAAAGTTGTCTTGGCTGAAGAAAGGTGTCTAATAGTCACCCACTGCCATAAATGTAACCTCACTCACTTGGCAACCTTCCACTGCTCTTTTAAACACAAGCCAAGAAATTTGAATACTGAAATAAGAGAACAATGAAAAACAACTGTTAATTTAATGATCCATTCAAAATATATCCTGTAGGGCTTCATCTTGAGAGTAAATTAATTTTACATCTATACTGTAATACTATGCTCCTGTTTATTCTCTACACATGCAGGTACAAAGTATGTTTTAATCTTTGCTTCAATCCATTACTGGGCTAGAAGTTAAAAAAAGTCATTTCTTAATTTCTGGCTATTTACACACCAACAATGAAGAGATTGAACATCTAACATTGTTTCCAGTGCATCATTATAATAGTCTTCTACCATATCGCTACCTTCTTTTTTTACATTCAAAGGTTTCATGCACCACTGTTTAACATTTCATATTTACCCAAATGGCCATTGGTAAGAAGTACATTAGCTCCTATAAAAACAAAACAAGACAAAATTGACAGTTGTTTATCATTGTCCCAATCACTCCTAGGAATGCCAACTTATACAATTGCTTCTAATTTAAATGATAAATGTTTTCGAAAGAATCCATGACTAATTAATATATAGGGTATAATTGCATTGTGATAATAATAACAATTGACCACCCCCAATGGGCTTTTTCAGGGCCAATACAAACAAATTGGAAACAAACAGCATGCCATAAAGCCCACTCAAGGAGCTGAACTTGGGACAACCAAAGAAAAATCCAGCTAGTAGCAGGGTAGAAGGCTATTTTTACTCTATCTTCCAACTATATTTCTTAAAGAAACCATGACAGAAACTCACTAACCAAGAGTAAATGAATCCAATATATCAGCTATCATATCTACATAATGTCGAATATTTATATCTTCAGCCTAAAGAATAAATTGACCACAAAAATCAGTAAATACTAAATACAAAAAAAATAACCCAATGAATTCACAACTATTAACTAAAATTATTTACAAATAATCAGTTGGGGGACATTCCAGTTAAAAAATATAAGGTCACGAAATGCAGTGTTCTCCCTTATTTTAAGCATGACAGGTAAAATGAATTTTCAAACC